ACTACAAGTATAATGATATGGAATGGTGCGTTTTTTCAAGCTTAGGTGTAAAAATCAGTTGGAAGTACTACGGTGAATTTTGACACACACAGCTATCTGCGCTTTGCTTTACACTACACGGTCAACCATCCATTAATGCGTCAAAATCCGATCAATAAATCAAAAGTTAAAAAAAAGTTGTATTTTTTCTCACACTATTGACATAAGCAATTTTAAGGTATTCAATGTGATCTTACCTTTAGGACATCTTCTCAGTTTTGATATTGCAAATAAGAGAAGAAGGACAATAACGAAAGAATAATGACGAATGTGACGGTTGCAGATACACAGAATATGATAGCAAACTTTTTCTGAAAATAAAAAAACTCAAAAAATTAGCAGTTGATTATTAAGAAATAGCTCCATATATAGAAATAAATGTGTTTCGTTTTCAACTTAAGATGTTTTCTTTGTAGTGTTGCTAGAGGTCTCTGCGAACCATACTATCGAAGAAAAAATTTAAGAAAAGTAGTCTAATAAGGTCACGGGATCGTCCTCAATATTACCGCTTGTGTTTAACATTTTAAACTGTGAAGTATTCGTTGAGTGGATGGTGTTTTCTACACTAGGGAGCGCTGCAAGCTCTTGACTGCCTTCACTTCCGGGTTACTGTTTTTGGAGTGTTTTGAAGACATTTGGCTCACAATGTGTTTTGAGATCTTGAGTAGTATTTCTTGCATAAGTTTGTTACCTGATTTATTATTTGTGTTTATAAAGAAGAATCGTCATTTAAAGACCTGGTATTTCAAGACATAAAAATTGTCATTTGAAGAAAGAATCGTTATAAAAACACTTCTTACTTTGTAACCAATGTACCAACTTCGAAATTAAAACCTAAATGATAAATTGTAAAATAAACTTAATCTCGCTGCTCGAACAATATGCCCACGTACGGCTTGCAACAAGAACAAACAGTAATAAACAAGTAAAAAGAGGGCAAATAAGAACTGCCATAAATGTGAGTTCTTTCTAAATCTAGCAACTATCTCACCTTTTCTTCATCACATCTGTTGTTGTTGTTCATTTACGTCGCACTAGAGCTGCACAATGGGCTATTGGTGACGGTCAGGGAAACATCCCCGAAGATGATCCGAAGACATGCCATCACAATTTTGATCCTCTGCAGAGGGGATGGCACCCCTGCTTCAGTAGCCCGACGACCTGCAGGCGAATTCGAGCACTTTACGGTAGAACAGTTTAACGAGGACCAATACCGCACACCCTCGGTCCCTACGAAGACTGATCCAAGTGGTCACCCACCCGCACACTGACCTCTGCCAGCGATGCTTGACTTCGGTGATCTGCTAGGAACCGAGTCTTAACAATACATCTCTAAATAACTGAAACAAATTTTCGTTTCAAACTCATCTGAATTACTTAATATAATATGAAAAACAGCACACTTGCGCTCAGAAACTATATAATTTATTTCTTTTATTCCAAACAAAATTATCGGATTGAAAATCTCGCCTCGCAGAATAAGCTGTAGTAAGCAGTTGCATACTTTCGAACCGAAAGTAGCGCAGGTCAAGAGCTCGAGATTGTTGTTTACATTTATATTGAAAACACCATCCATATGAAATTTTGTGAAAATAAAATGTCTGTACCCAAACATTTTCCTGGGGCATCAAAATAAACATCCTGCATTTGCTCAAGGCTTAAAACAACATTTTAGTGTGGCTTTCAGGAGAACTCCTCCAGACACCAGTCTTGCGTCGTGACGGGTACTATGATTACGAGGAAAGGTCACTTCGAATAGGGGTGTGGGGTGAATTGTTTTGTCTTAATCTTATGGTAGGTTGTCGTGACTAAACCAATCGACACCTTCTTTCCTCCATTTCACCCCCCCCATTACAAATGTGCTCTCGATTGTTACCATAGCAGCAGACAACCCCAGACTTTCAGTCAGAAGGAGTTCTCCTCAAAGCCGCATTATAAAAGGACATCCTTCCTATGGTTTATTTTATAAACATATGTTTCTGCTGAGGTAAACACGTAAGTTTTGTTTATTTTACAATATTAAAGTAAACACCAAGAGTAATGGGTACTGCTTCTAAGAGGGAAATGTAAGGAACCTATTATCACAGTACCTATATTAGTTAACTATTACAACAATATCATTAGCTATTATCTCGATTAATTAAACACCACTGACATCAATAACAGTTTTGCAATTTTTTATGTCCCTCCCGTATTCCAATAGGATAATTACCGAGTTATGTATTAGAGAGGAGTTCTGGCACCCATACAGAGGATTGAGTTCACCAGAGCCCCAGATTTTTGTTACAGCTAAATACAAGTAAATTGCAAAAGATAAAGATCCATAATGATCATTCTATCTTCGGTGACTAAATAAAAAATATTGTCACCCCTATCAAAGAAAGTAAAAACTATTTTGGACGACAAAAGTGAAGCTCGAAAATTTCTTTTAACCACTCTAGTCTGAGCCATTTATACTGTTTTTAAATATTTTAATTAAATCTTAAAAATTAAATTTTTCTATTACTTATCGTGTCTGCTCATAGTAAACACTTGCTTACAATTATAAGCATAGCAATTAAAGTCTTTATCTCGATGATTTCCAATTCCATTAATTAAAAAAAAAAAAAAAAAACGAGCTACCTTTTCATGTTTATGAAAGCCATAGTTCATTTCATAACTAATACACACCCAGTTTATATTTGCAGTCAAATAGAAGGTACCACAAATCAGACAAGAAAAACAGTACACCCAAAAAAACTTAAGGCCTTTATAACCCAAAATCAACAAAGGAGTTGGCCTAATATCCAAATAAAGCATTCAGTTAAGAAATAGTTTTAAAGGTTATCAACACAAATAAGTACAGTAGGTGATTACTTGATTAAAAACTTCATTCTCTTCAAAAATATACAAATTCTGAGCAATATACAAAAATATTGGAAATATCAGTTGAAATGTTTCAAGCGCTCACAAATAAGGCCTATTTTTGAGCATTTAAAACATTTTGACTTATTTCCAATTTGTATATTTCTGAAGCGAATGAGTAGTTCATAGCACATAGTTCAATTTCTTATGGGAAAAAAAAGGTATAGGGTGACCAGGGGTAATTCACGATCACTCTGTTTCTGGGGTAAATAATGATCACCTGAGTTTTATTTAAAAAAATATTTTTTTTTTTTAAATTTGAGACATGGACAAGAATGCTTGTTTACTTTACTAAAGTATATCTACATTTGCTTAAAAATAGTTTTTTATTTAATCTAACAAAATAAGTATCTTTTAAATTGCTTTCTGTATTTTCCATTTCAAAGATGGGTTTCAAAATGTGCACATTTCTGCAAAGATCCCCCTCCTTCTCTTAATAATAAATATTTTGAGTTACTTTCTTTTTCTTTGATATAAAAATAGTGTAGGCTTTTGCTTAATTATTTCACATCTACTGTAAACATTATAATTGATTATAGGAAACTATATCAAATGTTGCCCCCTACAGATGGGGTAATTATTGATCACTGGGGTAATTCCTGATCATTGTCATTTCTTCTTATAAATAGTATAAAAAATAGCTAATAAATAGTCAATTGTCTTTTCTTAAATAACAGTTCATATTTATTAAGTGGAACAACTATAAAATATATTTTAACTATAATCACAAAATTTGTTTTTAACTGTATACAAGAAAAATGTGTTCTGATATGCACCATTTCTAGCTTGTCTTACCTTGCTTCTATCTTAAATTTATGTGTGTACATTGTTAGAATAATTTTTAAGTTGATAAATTAACCTAATATAAATATGGTGAGAAATTATAAGCTTAAAAAGGATACTAAGCTTCTAGAAAGCAAAAATAGTGAATTTCTTTTAATGATTGAAAATGAAAATTTAAGTGCGAGAGCTGCTGCCAGAGCTGAAGTGTTAATCTTTATTCCTGATTTTAAATAAACAGTTTTATTAGCTGCTTAAACATATCTTTATGGTTTATTTGTTTGATCTTAACGTCCTACTTGTTAATTACCATTGTATAATTACTTTTAAACTGCCCATTTACTATAAAAACTGGTGATCAGTAATTACCCCAGAATTGATCAAGAGAAGGGGTAATTCCTGATCACTAAAAATTTAAAATCTTTTAAATTCTAATTAGATTTTCAAACAAAAGGCAGCATAGGACTCATCTCATATAGCCTCAAACTTCCAGAAAATATTTAAATTCTATCTTGAATAGTTTTTTCACAAAATAGATGTTTGCATTTTTTGATCAGGAATTATCCCAGGTCACCCTAATAAATAATGGGAGAGAAAAGATGGCTGCATTCTATGTGTTAACTCATTTTAGGCCAAGTATAGAAATTTTATTAAATGTGGTATTATTTTCATTGAAATATATTTAAACCATATTCATCAATACAAAAAAAATTTTTATGAAGGAAAAATAAACTTTTAGTAAAGAAATAAAACGGTGCGTATATGCACCACTGGCCAAATCATTTAGTTGAACACCTGTTTTTTTATTGCATTGTTTTATTGTATTTCCAGAACTTGTAACGTTAATCCATCATATAAACATATAATTAATCTCCAATGGAATAATTATACCCTTTCAAAAGGTCAAATTTGCCAATAACAGTTTTAAGTTAAAAAGAAAAACTACAGGTAAATAAGCTAAAAAAATGAATTACTGAAAGTTTTTACTAAAAGCATGTTTTTCTTAGTTCTTCAAATATTTGAATCTTAATTAACACAATTTCTTTGCTTGAGTAACTTTTAATTTTGAATAACATTAGCTTTAGACCACTATCTTATAAATGAATACAATCTAAATAAATAGATCAATTTGCAGTCAATAAAAAATAAAGAAAATTTTAATAAAGGAAACAAAAAAAAAATATATATATATATAAACAAAATTTTAATAAATAAAAATAAAATCAAAACAAGACACAAGAAGTCAAATATAAAACAAAATCAAAACAAGACACAAATAAGATATAAATCAAAGTTTTATTTTAGAAATGGTTAAAAATTATCGCACAGAAAATAGTATTTTTAGCCACAAAATGTACAGTAAAAAGATTTAGATGTTATTTACACATGCATACAAGTTGGTAAATAGAGATCAGTGCAACAGCTTATTTTAAAACATAACTTAAAATGTATCATATCACAGCTCATATAAAAAATTCACACTTCACACACAATCAAAAAGTCAACCACTCATTTTTCTTTTCTTTCAAATCGATTTCAATAAGGCAATAAAAAATTACTAGGATATGTACCTAAATTATATTCTTCGAAAAAAAAAACATAAAGCAAAAATAACTCAAATACAATAAATGCAAAAAAATATATTTTTTTGAAGTATTGTGCTAAGAGAATGTACTAACAAACAATTAAGATCAATTTTCACTTAACAAATTATGAAAAAAGCTTAGTGGAAGAATGTGTTAAGTGAGATTTTGCAAACTTTTAGGTATATATGCATATACTAAAAAGTGTTTTATATTTTTAGGCCATTTAAAACCTGTAAATATAAAACACTAATTTACTCACAGTACTAACAATTTTGAATAGAAAAAAATATTTTTTAGACAACTTCTAGTTTCTTTGCATTTAAAATTATTTTTCTCACTTTTACTGAAGTATCAGTCAACATTTTCTTTTATAAGGAGCATATTAATTAAAGATTTTGATTTATATTTATGGGTTATTTTAAAGCTAATAATAACCTAAATAACTAATTAGTGTTTTATATTTACAAGTTATTTTAAACCAGTAAATATATAACACTAATTTACTCTAGCATAACTGACAGTTTTCAATAGAAAATACATTTTGTAAACAGTTTTCTTTAGTTTCTTTATATTTAAAATTGATTTCTCACATTCATCAAAATGTCACTTAACATTTTATTTCACAAAGAACATACTACATGCGATTTTGAAAACACTCCATTTGACAGATTTATAGTCAACTATAACTACAGAATACTAATTTACTTTGCCATAACTCATAATTATTAATAGAAAAAATATTTTGGAAATAGATTCAAGTTTCTTTGTTTAAAAGCCGATTATTATTATTTTTTAAAATACCCAAAAATTTAACTTAATATTGTTTTCCACTAAGTTTTTCAATTTGACTTAATATTTATTTTTTTCAGATGTAGTTTTAAAGTAAAAGATAGTCAGCCTGCATTTGGCCGCAAAACACAGAGCTGTCCTAAAAGGTGAAAAAAAACAAACATTATTCCAATAGACTGGTAGATTTATTTTTATAAGAACTTAACAAAACACTAAAAAATAATAGTAGACTGTAGTTGCACCGAAAAGTAGTATTCTCAGCAGTATAAAATACAGAAAAGAAGCCATGCTGTTATTACCTAATTTTCAGAAGTTCAAGTAAAAACTAATAAAAAACATATATTCTTTAAATATTGTAAAAATGTAAGTAAATTATAACTACTAATAAATTTAACAGGATATACATTGAATTTTATTCAGGAGCACCATGAAATCTTAGGAACCCGAATCTGCATATCAAAATAAAATATTACTAGAAACAATAACGATGAATATATTAAACAGGCATGCCATAAAAAAGAAGCGATTAAATGAAATGTAAATCAGACTGACAAAATCTTAAGCTAAGCTAGTCTAAGAAAATAGTTGAGGATAAATAAAAATTTAACAAACACAAACATAAAATGACTAGTGATGTATATCAAACTGACTTTAAAAAGAAGGAAAATATCTTTTAGATAAAATTTCTATTTCATTATAGAGAAGTAGATATATTTGTAATGTAATAAATGTACTGGAATCTTCTTAATTAAAATACTGATAAAATTGAAGAAAAAAAATATAGATATAATTTTTCAAGAAGTTTCCTTTTCAGAAAATTAAACATTTATTTTCAAGGAAAATATTTCATACATGATAAACATTAGCATTTTATCTTACATAAATTCACAAAATTAAAAACGAAAGGGTTGGGAATTAAAATTAAATAAAAACTGTTCAGAAGGAAAGGCTTAGTAAAAATAAGAACAGTGTACATTTATTAAAAAAGAATAAATAAATAAAATTGTTCAAACATTTTCCTCCTAACTCGAAGAAGCGGTATAACTATTTGAATAGTTTGAGCAAAAACATGTTAACAGAAAGTTTAAGTAGTTTTTTTTCCCTTTAACGACAAATTAGCAAAGAAAATAGAGATAAGTCTAACTGCTTCCTTTAACTATTTTTTTTTTTTTGCAAAAAAAAAGCAAATAAATCTTAAATTTTTTTATTCCTTATTAAATATAAGAAGCTGAAACTAAATATAATATTTAGTTTTAAGTTCAATTTTTATATTTTTTTACAGGAGAAAATACTTTTAGTTTTATCATCAAAAGTTATTTTTGGCAAACTTGGGGAGAGGGGTTTGATCATTAAATAGTCTTTTAAGCTACTCACAGAAGAATAATTTCAAGTTGATTCAAAATCGTCTGAAAAATCACATGCATCTCTTTTGCATGCCCTCATTATTTTCATAACTCCTCAACATAACTATTCTTAGTTATCCATTAGCCATAACGTTGTATATACAATTGACCAAAATAGTCTTCAGTTTCACTATCCAACATAAAAGCCTCAAACAAACGTCCGATCAAAGCAAAATATTTTTTTTTCTAAGTAAAAATGAGATAAAAACAAATATAGAAAAAATTTCTGCTAGGATAAGTAATTAATTACTTTAATAACAATTAACTGATTGATTTTTTATCAACCCAAGATAATTTGGGATAAGGGAAGCAGTTAAATACTCTATTTGCCATAAAAATTTTAACTTTCTGATTTGAAATAATAACTAGTTAGATTTCAGAAGAAAATACCTGATAAGGAAAAAATATTCACTAATGAAGATATACTTTATTTATTTACTAAAAATATATAGATATATTTACTAAAGTTCAACATATTATCATATGTTGAACTTTAAGTTATATTTAACTTAAAGTTTAGTAACTTCAAATACTAGAATTATTTGCACTTCACTATAAATCAATACCATATACCTATTTAAAAAATTTAACAGGGTTCCCACTCAATTTTAGAAAATAAATTTCCTGACTTTTCTAGGTATATCAAGTAAATTTCAATGAAAATGTAATGTTTTTATTTGTAATGCCAAATATTAGATTTTGAGCAAAAAATATAATAGAATGAGAACGGACACATGTAAAATGTTCACTAAAAAGTGGAATTTTTATAAAATAATTGCAGTGGATGTTAGAATTATTTAACTGTAACCTCAAAAATTAATTACTGTTACTGACAATTCTAAGATTGGCTATTTTCTAGGTATGATATAGGAACTTTCCCTGACAATTTCCTGCTTTTTAGAGTTAAAATTAAATTCCCTGGCAATTTCAGTTTTTTTCTGTTCTCCCTTACTCGTGGGAGCCCTGTTGAAGAAAAATATTTTAAGTACAAATTAACAAAATGAATAACAAAAAAAAAAATTATACAAAATGTTAAGTACAAGGATTAAAAATGCAACTAAATCCAAAATTGAACAAATCGTTCTTGTCTACATACTACTTTGTTTCGACATATAATGCCCTATAAGCTTCATATAAAAGTTTCTAAAAATTAACAATATAAACATTTTATAAATCTTTACAATGTAAATATTTAATATTACAAAAGAGATAAATTCAAAATTGTATTAAATAACAACAATTTTATTTATATCATGTAGTTTAATGGACGGCATAGCTTATATTAAATACTATACATAAATCCCAGAAACAACTAGCATGTTAAAAATATAGACACAATTCCATAAGCTTGAAAAAATTAGCTATCAAGTGAGAAAAAAAAGCATAGAGTTTTGATAAATGCAATGACTCATATAGAGCTTAGCTTACAGTTACATTAAAAAAAAAATTCCATTAGTAAAGGTATTTTTTTAAATCAATGTCAGTCACCAGGTGATCACTGTAATATACAAGGTATGCATAAAAAGTTTGGTAAAAGGTCCAATAATTGACAAACCATTCTGATTAAGAAGTTGCACTTGCACAGAAGCAAAGAGAGACATGGCCAATAATCCGGTCTTATGTCCAAATAATTAAATCACTAAAACCTGTCACTGTGAAATTTAGTAACGTGCAAACATCAAGTTTAACTTTATCACACAAACACAAAGAGACATGTAATTTTAGTGAACATTGTGGAAATAGTGAGTAAAGCATAAGTAAAAAGTTTGTTGTAGCTAATGTAGCTGTTATTTTGCATGTCCTTTAAATCTATTTTGTTTGTATGTCTTTGTTTCCTTCATTTAACATAACTTCTTATTGCACTTCTCAAATTCACCTTGTAAATTCTTAAATAACAACTTAATTTATTCATAAAAAAAAAAATCAAGTGTTAAGTCCTTGTGCAAGGACAGAAAATAAGCTTTTTGTCTAGCCCCATTTTAAAAACATGGTGCAAAATTCATGATCTATAAAAGTCAATATATTGTGAGAAATCACATGTGTAGGTAATTTATAATAGTTAAAACAATGTTGGCCAAAAAAATTTTCCTTGTAAAAGTTTTACTAATATTGGTGAAAAATATATATGCTATTCTAGCATCATAGATCCAGTTTCCTTAAATCTCATTTTTTTCCCTCTCTTTGAAATAGCTATTCTTGGGACTTATCTTCATACAATATTAAATACTGAGAGGTATAAATATAACTAATACTCAAATACAATCTCCGGGGTGATTATGATACTAAGTGGAAAACTGCAAAAATTTTATGTGTAAGAAATCTAAATCAAGATATCAATTTATATACCACATTCATAATTCATATTTAACGTAGTTCTTTGAACAAATATTTATAATTAAATTACATACTAATAAAGAACTGTCACACCTTTATAGTAACTAATTTTAAAAAAATTTACTTCTTACAAAAATCGCTATATTAGATTTTAAAAAAGCGAAAGTACAAACGACAATATTAATTTCTTAAAATTGAGTAAACACGAATCATGATGCCTACCTCCAAACATTAATGAAATAAAACAACGGAAATTTTACTAGCGATATTTTTCAGGTTGTTGATGAGTAAAGTTTAGATACATCATATATAATCAAGTTAGTCAAAAGGAGAAATTCACAATTAGAAATAATATAAGCACTTACATTTAGTGAGTAAAAAATATGTATATAAATCTTAATCTAAAGAAGATTTTTTTGAACCTTTATTTATAATTTTTCAAACTATTAACACTCAACATACTGTAGTGAATTATCTATTGACGAATAAGAGAAGTATTTTTGCCATCAGCAAATATTTTATGACCCAAAAATTTTTTTTTTAAAATTTATTCAACAAATACAGAGAAATTTGAGAATCAGGTAAACAGGAGATAGTCGTAAAATATAGGAGTCTTCACTAAAAAACAGGAGACTTGACAGGTATGATGATGTACAATTTTTAGCTCGCGTGAGTCTGAATTGCGATGCGTAGTTTTAGAAACACGTATAAATATGAATATTGACGAGTTATTATTTATTAGTTAAAAAAATTACATTTTCCTCACACACACACACAAAATAAATAAATAAATAAATGAAAACACTTAGTAGATTATTAAACAAAATTTGGAAATGCTCTACAAATTTGATATTCGGATAAATAAATTTGTCCATATACGAAAAGATAAGCCACTAAATTTCATAATAGTTATTAAAACAAAGGGTCCTACACAGATAAACAAAATCAAACCAGAAAATTTAAAAAAAAAATGGACTTTCATGCAGCATTTAAAATTTTTCAATATGTGGCATCTTTGTAATAATATACTATTTGAAAACAAAATGAGAAAGATAAAAACAGTTATGTTATGCTTAAGATCCCTCCCAATGAACAATTTTTATTACATGCTAGTTGTACTGAGGATTATTTAATTGTTATAACAATAATACTTTTTTAACAACTATCCTGTATACAAAGGCAACTTTTTGGCAATAACATTTGTATATGAATCATTTTAAAAAGCTATTATTGTAATGAATTATGATCTTATACTTAAAAAATTTTAAAACTATTTTTACTGATGAATGAATTATTTATATAAAAATACAATTTATTTTTTTAAAAAAAAGCTACATACTAAGAATGTAAAAGATCTGGAGTGCAGGTTTTTATATTAACAGAAACGGAAAAGAATTAAAGCTTTAAAATAAAGATAGCGACTTTCCTTTCATAATCGATGTTTTAAGAAGTGATTATTTTCCTCCTCCAGACTAATATTGATGATTACCCACATCCAGAAAAAAGTTCAAACACTGAAGCCTATAGCCAAACCAATTATAAGAAGCACAATGAGAACACAAATAATGATAAAGATGAGTTTCTATAAAGAAAATAAAAATAATCAATGGGTAAAAAAGAAAATAATATAATAAATAAATAAACATAAGAATAACTACCATGCAACTTGGGTGAAATTGTTCAAAAATATCAAATATTTAGATTATTATTCAAATTTAGATTATTAATCAAAATATTTAATAAAATATATTTTAATTAATAAATATTTAATAAAAAGATTGATTCAAAAGATTTATACATCCGTCGTTGAACAGCCGACCCAATTTTGGGTTTAAGACTACTAATGTTTAACTCCATAGCCATGTAATTTTGAACCAATCCAGAACACAAGGAAACTCTTAGATCAAGGAGTTTCCTTGTCTTCTGGATTGGTTCTGGAGACAAGGACTATGTTCCCATAACAAATTAATACCACGAGAGGTATTGATTTGTTATGGGAACATGGAGGACTTTCTGACTAGACAGATTTAATGTGCATCAGTTACCATTTACTTCACGGGGAGTCTTCGGCCAGCCTGGGTTCAAACCCACGAACTCTTGGACATGGGCTCAGTGCCCTACCAATTAGGCTGTCCCGGCCCCTGATTCAAAAGGGTTGGCAATATAGGGATTTTCAGCAGCGATGGCTCAGGGTATACAGCGTTCGCTTTCCAATGAAGCGAACAGGGTACGAAGCCCAGTCGATGCAAATTCCACATCCGGCTTGCGCGGACCACAGTGCTGAAGTGGATTATCTTCAATGGTAGACAGATCATGGGTTAGAGTCTCCTTGCCATCAGGCTAACTGTGAAAGGCTCTCGTGATCTTCCTCTCCATGTAACGCAAATGCAGGTTAACTCCATCAAAAAAAGTCCTCCACGAAGGCAAAATTTTTCCCAATACTCGATCCAGGAGATCCCTTGTCTTCTGGATTGGGTTCAAAATTACAAGGTTACAGCGTTGAGCTTTAGTAGTCATAACCCAGATGGTGGGACAAAGGTGCATCATTGCCGCAATGAAAGTGTTGCATTTGCCTTAGTATAAAATTGAATGTTTTGAACACACAAAAATCAGGAATATTGTAAAAAAAAGCTAAAAATTGGGATAAAATCAGGAAAAATACAAGCTCTGCTAACTAAAAAGGCTTTATAGGCTATAAACTGCATGCTCCTAATTGAAATAACTCATCTGTGAAAATTTTTAAAAAAAATGTTAACCCCTTAACTTGTGCGCTCAAGTTAATTCGAGCGTGCTAAACATTTCAAACTATGCACACTTGAGATAATTCAAGCGGCGTTGTATTTTATGCTGCTATAATCTTTCACAGAATATAATCGTTAATTGAAAATAACAATGTGAAAGTTAAGAAAAAAAATCTTTTTATTGATATTTATCATTTACATAGGATTGTAAGCCATTGCATTCCATGGAACAAAAGCGCAATATATTAAAATTGTCCACCCAAAAAAAAGTTGAACCAAGAGCGGCAACAACTGGAAACCTTGTTCTAGCTTTTTTATATATATAAAAAAGGATTTTTTTGGCCGGTTTTTTTCAAAAAAATCTGTGCGTTAAGGGGCTAATAAGGATTCTCTTCTTTGAGATTTCCAGAGTAAAATTAAAAAAAATTTTCTTTTACCAGATTTTTTTAAATTGAATTAGTGCAATTTAGAAATATTTTTATATATTTATAGAAAAAAATTAACAATTTACAGAAAAAGTTTTTCGTAAAAATTTATCAATAATTCAGGTTTTAAAAGTTTTATGCCAATTATATCCCTATTCCATATTTAAAAAGTTTTATTTTTTAGAAACGCTTTCTCAACATAAAATAAATAAGAAGCAATCATCATTAACTATTACAAGCTCAAGGTAAATATGAATTAATTTACAAAAATAAAATGTAATTTTTAGACTGTACACTCTTTACTTACACAAAAATAAAAAGAACTGCCTTGCATGTTGTTAACATCAATTATTAGACATTGATGATTTGGTACAACTTCACAATTAAATTGATTATAACAAATATAAGTACAGCAATATTTAAGGTACTCAATAATTAAACTAGTTACAGATCTAGTAAGTAACAGATCTAGAAATATTTAAGTTCAGAAAGTTATTATTATAATTTTTCCACTAGACGCAGCACTTTGTTTTAATAAATCACCTAAACTATTTATCAAACAAAATTTCATATATTGGCTACTTTTCACTGCACACTATCTTCAATTTTTAATGTATAAGATAAATTTTAATATTCCATTAGCAATAAGAAGCGTACAACCTTCAGTTATCAACTTAAAAAGTAGTATCACATACTATTGATCTTTTTAAAGCCTTTACTGGTACAAATATTTAACAACTCATCTGTTTCCAGATGGACACAAAAAATTAAAGAAAAGCGATATTATTTAATAAGGTAAGCAAAATCAATTATTAAATAATTATAAATAAGGATAAAAATATAACATTTCACATCAGTTTTAACTAAACATACAAATTATAAAACACCCAAACTTAACTAAGTACACTAATAATAGCTAATGTGCAAGATTAGAATATATAATAACAGTTGTTTAGTAAATAAAAAACTTACTTTGCGGGCTCTGCTCTTATATCTTACAGCTCGATTAATATCGGTTTTAGCATTATCAACAAAGTCTACAGCATTTTGAACATTGTATTCAATACGATCAATCAATTCTCCCTAAAAGTAAAATGTTTATTTATAAATATTTTAGGAAAATCTATACATAATAATAAACGCAGCTGTGTGTGTGTGTCTGTTTGTCTGTCTGTAATCACAATATATCGCCCCAGAAGCTTCGCCCAGGCACGAAACTCGGTACATAATTGTGTTTTGACATAATGAAGAAGTACTTTTTTTCTTTTTCAAAAATTTCGATTAGTTTTTTAGTTATGAGTCATTTTGTAAGAAAATGTATGCTTTTTCGTCTTCAAAGAGCCATATTCAAAAAACTATTAAAAAAATGCATATTCTTTTCTCCACTCTTATAAATGTATGCTAATGCGAACCTTACAATTGAAATATTAATCTTCGACAGCTTAAACCAATAATATACGAAGGAATTAATAATTTAATTGTAAGGTTCGCATTAGTTTACATTTATCAAAATGGAGAAAAGTTTAACTTTTGTATTAAAAATGTGGCAACATATTCGATACGTAAATAGAACGCTTCGCTTTGATATATTTGTCGCTGTTCATAATTGTTATAATAAGTTTTTCTTCTTCTTTCCACGCTCTTTTTTTTTTTTTCTTAAGCGAAGACGATAATTTTTATAGCGATATTGTAGTACTTTGTACAACTAAAAATTCTTTTCACAACACTTTAAAAATATTTACTTTATTTTCTTTATATATACAGAGAACAGTCGGCAAAGAATTCGATTAGGTTGAAAAACATTTCGCTAAAAAGGAACGAATTCCAAAAGAAAAAATAAACAACTTAAAGAATAAAAATGCTGATGCCAGCCAATTTTTTGAAAGTTAACTTAGAAATAACAAACCAAACGATGTTAAATAACAAACCAAACGATGTTAACAAAATGACGTAGAAAGCGCAACTAGATCAAAATTATACAAGCACAACTAGATCAAATTATAATACCTGAGTGCTTGACGTAACAGATATAGAAATAGAATTTGATACCATAAAAAATTATATAGAAATAGAAATTGATACCATAAAAAATTTATTCGTTTTCGTGTTCTTTTCATGTATTTAGCATTTTAGTTTTTTTTTTCTTAAGCGTTGTAGCTATATAATTTCAAACATCCTCAAGAGCTATAACACATCTGCAGCAGAACTGGATATGAAGACAAAATTGCAGGACAGGAACACTTTAATTGTCCACTAATCTTCAGATTTCCTGCTATGTTTTAAAAAACTTTATTTGTGAAAACCTTTAGCGTGGCGGACAGCTGGCCGCCTTAGACGGCTAGCTTTAAAATAGAATAGAAATTAGCTTTATGATGCCTTAAAAATTTTGATTATCATAAGACTTATAGTGATCGTAATAAAATTACTGGATTATAAACTAAGCCGTTAATAAAATAATTATTTCTCTTACGTAAAATCAAATTTTTGTAGGGCCGGCATATATTTACAACATGAAAAACTGAGAGTATCCTTATCTGAGTACTTAGAACTTTCTATTTCTTTAGGTTTTGCAAGACAAATAAGAACAAAGTTACAAGTGTAGATTCCACTTCTTAGGGAAATTGAAGAGTGAGAAATAAATCCAATGTCGATGATCATCACTCACTCAAGCTTTTAAACTATGATGCATCTTTTAATTCCAAATTTTGTTAATCAAAAAAATGTGCTAATATTTAGAAACCAATCTGTAAATATGTAAAACATGTTTAATGGAAATGTCAAATGTAGATTCAGTAAAAATAAATATCAATTTAGTTTTTAGTGCAACTTTGAAATCCCCCCCCCTCAGAGTTGATATACCGGTTAATAAAATCAGGCACCTTATAAAACTAGATGTTTTCAGAAAGCAAAAGATTTTGATGGGTGTATTAATGTATTGTGAAAATATTACATATTGAAAAAAACTTACTTGATTTTCAACTAGAAGTGCCATGTCAACAAACATGTCATGCAGCTCTCTAATGCTTTTTTCTAACTTAATTATATCTGCATGTCGATCTTCTATATCGGCCATTGTTTGTTTAGCTTTCTGAGTTTCTATAACAATCTACAGAAAGAAATTAAATTGGTATTTTTCCCCTTTTACGTAACTTAAAAAAATATTGTGGTACATTAGCATTAATATAAAATGTACAGCGTAGACAAAAGAAAAAAAAAAGAATCAACCTGAGTTGAATAACTTTAGGTTTCAATCTTAATGGTTCAAGGGGTTGACTTCAAATATGCTAATTAATCAATGCAGATATTTAGGTTATGATTGCAGACTTTCTCTGAATAAGAAACACACCTTTTTTGGACATATTTTGATTTCTAAACATCTAAATATAAAGGTACTTCAATCTGACAAATATGGTACCAATAGTTTCACCAGGAGAATGGTCTAAAGTTAGAGCTCCTTAATGTTAATTTTACTTTTTGCGTATTTCGTTGTATCTCAAGAACATTTTAGGCGAATCAAAAATATTTTGCACACAGTTATAACATTTATCTAAAGATAATTCCATGCCAAAAATAATTTTTAATATGTATTTATAATTATTTTATTTAAGAATAGCGAGGAATTCACTTTTTGAATTCAATTCATTTTCGGAAACAAGTCCAGAGAGAAGTCGGATTACCAAGTGTATTACAGAACCAAATTCTGCTTTATCCTAAATGACTGAAGTATGAAATTTACTCCTTCAAAAAAGTATTAAATTGTTATTATTACTTAAAATTTACAAGACATAACACGCTGTCTGTACACTATCAACATAAAGTGACTAAATATTTTAAGTAATAATTTTAACACTTACAGTTGTGGCTATTTTATAAATGGCCATGATGACCTTTCAAGTGTAAAGAATTAAAGGTTGAAATGTTGAAAGGGAGATAAAAGAAAGTACTGCAAGCGTAAAAACAATTTGAAATGAAAAAATAAATGGGTGAGTAGGATTATAGTAGCTATTCCATTTAATTTTAAAATGAAATAATAAAATGTCATAATTGAGCAAAAAATGCGTGAGTTAGTTATCATTTACTCACACTTATAACTTTATAATTATACTTTTGCATTCATTGGTTCAATAAAATACAAACAAAGGTTAAAAAAAGATGAATAAGTCCTAATTTAATTAAAATATTCTGTTTTAAATTATGAACAGATAATTTGGAAAAATATTAGACTCACTCCTTGAGTGAACACTGCTGGGTTGCCACTTTCAAGCATTTCTTCTATTTCTCTGTCAGTTTTAGAGTTCCCAGCTACAAAATTATGAGAACATAATTTAGCATCCACATTTATGTAAAATAATTTCCAATCACTATTTTCTACAGTTACTGTTCACATGAAATTAACAACACAAATAATAATAATTTTAAAAAGAAAGAAAAGGGAATACAATGCTTAGAAGATTGAAAGAAACAGCTGTTTTGTATTCCAGTGAAGTGATTGGATCTTACATATTTTGAGAAATATTTGGAGCAGTCTGAAACATAAATTTTGAAGTCAATAGAAACAACAATTTTTACATCAGCAAAAGTTTATTGCTTTGAAATCCGTAACTGAAAGCTCCCCTTTCTTATTTGGAATAAAAAAAATTCAACAAACAGTTTAAATTGGAATAAACGTACAGTTAATATTACATTTCAAAGTCTAAAATTAATTAATAATTAATCTTTTAAAAGTTTAAAATTTACAATGTTTATTAATGAATTATACTTTTTGACGTGGTTTCAAAATAAAAATGAGGCAATTTTGCCAAGATTAATTACTTTGATCACAACTGTTACTTGCCCAATACTTACTTAAAATTTATTATTTGCTGACATAATGTTTTGTTTTAAACTTAATATACATTTGATTAAATTTGAAAAAATGCTAAACTACTCAAAACAATTTTTGCAAAATTTTGTAAATCTAACATATAAATTTAAAACCAAAAGAACAATTAATCCATTAAGTAACTAGCAATAGGAACAAAAAACTTATTTTTCTTATTATTCACATAGGATTGAAAGCCAAATCATACTACAAGTTCATTAGTAAAAATAAGGGTATCATAGAAATATGTTTAAAGAAGTTTATAGTAGGTGAGGAAACATCTGGGAGCAAATTTAAGATCTTTCAGCACCATGACACCCCTGTGTCAAAGTGAACTCTTCAATGGTCTATCTTCTTTTGAAAGTACATAGACTATATTATAATGTTTAAAACTATATATTTTTAGAGAGCTGTAGTGACCCAGGGGATACAGCGTTCGCCTTCTAATGAGTTGAACCGGGTTCGAATCCCAGTAACAGCTGGTCGATAAGAATCCCGCACAGACCACACTGCTGATGTAAAAATATCCTCCGTGGGAGGCACATCATGGGTTAGAGTCCCCTCTCCATCAGGCTAACCGTGGGAGGTTTTCCTTTCCATGTAATGCATGTCCTTTCCAAATGCAGGTTAGTTCCATCAAAAAGATCTCCATGAAAGCAAATTTCTCCTAATATTTGATCCAGTAGTTCTCTTGTCTTCTGGATTGGGTTAAAAATTATAAGGCTATGGAGTTGAACATTAGTAGTTGTAAACTCAAAATTGGGTCGGCTGTTCAATGACAGTTATAAAATAAAAAAAATATTTTTAGAACCACCGGCATTGCTTACTGATAAAGAGAAAGTTGGAAAATTTTATTTGAAAATGGAGTTAAGTTAAATGCGCTTATATGTAAAATAAATGGAAACTACAACTTTAATTAATCTTACTTTAAATGTTACTGAAACACAGTTTTCAAAAATTGAGGAGTGAGTAAACGCCTAACACATTTATTATCAATTTGATTAGACAAAATAAGCTGTAGCAGTTACCCGACAACAATTATTTTAAAAACATAAAACCAACAAATCATACACACTTTATAGAAACTAGGTAATATATTTTAAGATGAACTAACAAGAATTATGAGCAGCAAAGATTAAAACTAAAATCAGAACAAGCTTGTAAATATACATTCAATATTTAGACAAAAATACACGACTCAAAACAACAATGATAGTTATTTCCATAAGCAGGTTAAACATAGATTTCAATCATTAACTTTGTGAGAAAAAAAAGGAATACTAACTAATTTCAAGCTGACGTTGGATTCGATCTTTACAACGCTGCCTGTAATCTGTCTGCGTATTGTTGTAAGCAGACATGACATCCACAAATCTTCTTGAAAGAGCTGTGTGCTAGAAAATGTTTCAAATAATCAATATAGAATTAATTGCTCTAAACACCATATTTTGCTTCTAGTTTAAATATAATTACCTTACGACAAAATTTTATGTCTATACAAAGTGTTAATTTTATCTTTTTTGTAATTTAGAATTAATTACAACTATGAATATAGTAACAGTTGGATAATTATTTAATAATATCTAAAACTTAAATTTTGGTTTAAAAATATTGAAACTTTGTGAATTTTATGCAATAAGCCAAATTGCCACAATGACAGTTTATACAATGAATACAACTAAACAATATGAAAAGAGCACAAATAATTCTGCAAAACAGATATACTGTAATTCTATAAGCCTTATCTTTCTTTTTCTCTAAGAAGTATCTTTAATGTAGAAATACTGAATGAAAGTTTCTGCCAATGTTTTAATATTAATGAAATTCTTGCATTATAGAACCAAAACTATAATATATCTGTTAATGTGACATTGTTCTATGCTCTTTCCATGTTGTTTACCTTTATTCATTAGTACAAAGTTAAACCGTTCCTCACTCACGTAAAAGATGCATAACAATATTCATATAATTGAACAAATTAATTTAGCACCAAACTATGTTCCTTTTTATACAAACAAAGATTTCAATAAATACAAACTAAGGCTTACATAAAATAATTCATGTTTTACACGAGTTATGATTTTTTTTTTAATATAAAAGAAAAATATAAAAATGTTTAATTGAATCAGTACTAATTCATTTTCAAATAAAACATAAGTAAACTGTTTCCATCATAGTTAAGTAAAACACTATGGACACAGTTTTCATTTCTATCATGTTTAATGGTTTATGAACTGCTTGAAAAATTTTAATCCCACACTTAACACATTAATCAGATGTATTTTTTGATGAGCAAATGATTATAAAACTATGTAATTAAATAATATTAATTCTTAAATAGAGATATATAAAAAATTCCTACTTTGTAAAATAAAAAATACAATGCCAACATTAATAGAGAATAGCATTTTTTTAACTCACTGAATTTGTTCACAATTTTTAAAAACACGAATACAATTTTTAAAATAATTAAAATATCTTAATGAAAATAGCAAATTTTCAATGGACGATAAGAAAACATTGTACTGCAAAATTGGCTTTAGTTTGCAGTATGCACTCTGTCAAACAGTATGCATATAGCAGTTAGCTCTCACGCTACTCTTTTTTTTTTAAACGGACACTGCTAATGAATATTTTAGGTTACTTAAGAAGTTTAGAAGCAACAATTTGGAGCAATTGTACTTTCAACATGTTCTATTGATAATATGAAGCTAAAACAATACAGTAAAGCCTCGATAATTGGAGGTAGACAGGATAGAGCCTACCTCAAACTTTTGAAAACTTAAAAAATATTTAAATAAATAGAAACAAAGCATTTTTTAAATTTCAGTATTTAATTGAAAAATATTTTATATTTAAAGAAATTTACTTACATTACGTGATCAGGGTACATTTACTGCGTTACGCATTCAAGTTACAATATTCATTATATTATTGCCTTGTATTTTGACTAATGTTTTTGTTTAAACACATTGCTCACATATTTCCGTGTTTAATACACAAATTAGTTTTTCAACATTTAGCCGTAGAAATCGTCGCGAAACCAATTGTAACCATTGTTCCAAGTTGTGTGTGAATTGGTCATTGTTTCGGAGCAAAACGGATTTGCCTCGGATTTATGGGAAACTCAAGCAATTGAGACTCTACTGTATAAGCTTTTATTATAATTTTTTTTAAACAAAAACATAAATTTCGGAACATTAGGTAATGCAAAAATTTGTACTAGCTTTATCATCAAGAGATAACACTTACAGAAAATTTGAATATATTGCAACTTAGGAGCTATTCAAATATTATGTAAGCATATTTTTAGACCACCTTCCCTCTTTTCAGCAAAATGTTAGCTTATGTAACTAGTTAGCCTATGCTTATGTAACTATTTTCCATACAGTCCATTCTTTGTCAGTAGGTTTGAACGTTTCCATGCAGAGTAGTTAGCGAATTCTATCAGCTTTTTACTTTTGATAATAAATTCATGATAGTTAAGAAATTTATTTTGTCACAAATATATAATAATATACAGCATTATTTTAACATATAAATATTACAATGTAGAAGTAAAGTATTACCTGAGTTTTTTTAATTCTTAAATCAGCAGAGGTACTATTAACATGTTCTTGCTGCTCAATATTTTGTCCCATAACTGTAAAAAAAAATTTTTTTTATAACTTTAAAACCTAAAATTTTTACTAATTCCTCTGAGAAAAAATTAATTTTATTATAATGTCATACACTGAAATATCTTTAGCAATCAAATATCCAACCCTCATGATTGTGTATTGAAAACTAAAAATCAGACAATAATGAGATAATAAAAACATTTACATTTTAATTTTTGCCGCACTTTCCCCGATAATCTTTTGATTTCAGCCATCAGGTCTTCCAAATCCATCTTTACTTCTAAAAATATATAAATAAAATGTAATTAAATTTCTTTGTTCTGAAATTTTTTTTATTTTGGCACAGATTTTTTTAATGTAAAAAAGAAATGCAGCATAGCTCTAATTTAAATTACACTAAAGGCAAACATTAGTCATTTAAACATCTCTTATTTCGAGGAAAAGATTTTGCATATTTTAAATCACATCTGTATTATATTGGTTCTCAACAGAAGATAAAGAAAATCTTTATTAAAAATTTGCAAAATGAAAATTTTACGTAAAACATAAGGCACTTTATTTATGAAACCTCTGGAGAAACATAAAGAAATAATGTCATAATAATAACAGATTTATTATCAAAATTAGTGTGTAAACCTGATTATTTAATAGTTACTTTTCTCCAGATGTAAAGTCAATTATAATACAGTACACAAACTTTCAAAAACCTTTCACCATGAACATTAGTTTACATGTCAGCATATTTGATGTAGTTAATTGATGTATACATATACCTTTAGTTAATTGATGTATATATATACTTTTAAACTATAACAAATATTAAATACTTTAGAAAGGATACAAGTGTTCTAAAGCTATATTGAAACAACTACCATACAGTTTTTGAGACACTCAACAAATTTTCATAAAAAAGAAAGAAACATTCAAGTTTATTTTTTTAACAAAATTATACTTATGTTTGATTTATAATTAAAAGCAAGTTAAACATTCCTTAAAAAAATGTATTGATAAATAAAATATATTGATAAATTAAATATAGATATTAAAATTAAGTAAAATCCATAAAAAATACAGAGTGGGTGAAAAATTCAAACAAAGTTGTTGCATAACAGAATAGAAGGTTAACTAAATTCTTTTTAATTTGTATGTCCATTTCTTTCTGCCAACCACTTTAACTGTAAAATATTCTATAATCTATCTCTTAGTTTACATATTGTTTTTTGTCTTCTTTTTTACAATGCTCAACAAAAGATCTACTATTTTAGAGTTGTTTAAGAAAGGAAAATGATTGTGTGAAATCATTTGTTTGCTTAATGTGCCTCGACAAACGGTGTCTGATGCAATCTGCTACTTCAAATAGCTTGGCAATGATTGTTGACACCCAGAAAATAAAAAAAAAATGCACAGAGAACATTTTCAATAATCATAAGAGCATCAAAAAGAGAGTTCAAAATAATCCCAGGGTTTGTACGAGAAAGATCACTTATAAAATGGGAATAAGTAATCGATTAGTACGACTAAGGACAAAAATAGAGCTTCGACTGAAGCCTTACAAGTTCCAATAAATCAATCTTCTCTCTGAAAAAAATAAACTCATGCAGCTCCAAAGATGCCAAAAACTTTCATTTATGAAAATCTCATTATCGTCCATAAAGCTCGTAACTATCAGAACGACATGATCCGGTCTGTAAACGCTTCAATCACCTCAGCAAAATCCAGAATCGGTTATGGTGTGAGCCGGAATTCGTGCAAGTGGCAAAACACCGCTGGTTTTTGCTGATGAAGGCGTTAAAATAAATCAAAATTGTACTAATGGGAGATTCTAGAAGCTGTTGTACTTTTGTGAGCCTAAAAGCATTTTAGCAATGTGAACTGGACGTTTCAAAAAATCCCCATACTAGCTCACAAGGCCAAAAAGAAAAAGAGTGATGCAAAGCACATTTTCTGGAAATAATATCACTGAAGAATGTCCACCCAACTTGCCAGATCTCAAACCAATGGATAACAATGTATGGTTCATTCGCTTTTGGAGTCTAGGACCTGCACTTTTCAAAGCAAAAGGCTGGATTCTCAAAACCAATAGTTTCAGCAGGAATGAGATAGATTAAAGGTAGAAGACTTGCCTATAAAATTTCAATTAGCATTTTCTCCCCTGCCTTGTTCAAAGCGGCAACTTTGATATCAATAAAATTTATTTATTAGTAAAAGTCTATTCTTATTATTTGTTAGATTTTGTTAATTTATTTTAATTAAGTAATAATAAAAATTGTTGTCCAGGTTTTTTTGCCACATTTACAACAGGAATTTTTCTTAAGAAATATAAAAAATTATTATTTATAATTTTTTTTATTTTTACTTTCATCAGTTGAAGGAGCTGAGAGTATAAAACTGTGCTTTTTCCTCACTTCTTCGACAGTAGAAATAATCTTATCAAGACAATTTGACACTTCTTCCACCTAAAATAATACAATATGTAGATAATAATGAGAAGATATTATAAAATACATATCTACATAATCAATAACAAGCATAACTTTAACGTTCTACCTATTTGAAATTAATGAATGTGTCATATACATGTCTGTTTATGAAAATAATTACTTGATCGTTTAAAAACGAAAATTCAAAAGAAGAAAGCAACTATTCTGATGGTAAGCTGATTCATTAGAAATGGTATGGTAATGGTGAAAAGAATGATGGAAAAATTTTAGTACATTTGCCTAATGTTTGAGATTTATAAAATTATTAATTTAAAGTATAAAAATGTAATTTTAAGAAATTATAAACTTTAAAAAAATAGAAACAAATGTGATCTGAAACATAGATTGAATAAAGAAATGTATTTAACGTACGAGAACATGCGAACTGGTGTATTTCAGAATCAAAGGCTGATAAATTATGAATTTTTAAGAATTTCCTGCGAAGAATAACAAAATATATTACACAGTATGCATTATTTAAAACAGATGTTTAATATTCTGACTTTATTTGGATGACAGTAACAATTTTGAGCATTTATTTCTGATATAAAATACGTATTTAGTGCATGATTCAAAATAAATTAATAAATATGATGCCTTTAAAAATCAAGAAAATGATTTTATGTGATGTACAAATATAGTTAACATTTAAGTTTGAGTGAACAAGTGACATAGTCTACAGATCAATACACAATGATGCTCACTGGATAGAAGGACCAGCAACTTTTTTTAATAATTTCAATTTCAAATGCTGACTTACTATCAACTTATTAAACAGATGCTAGTGAACATTTAAATATTACTATAAAGGTATTCTATAATTTCACAAATATTAAAATTCAAAAAACCTATTTTTAAATAAAGTATAGATGAATGCGATTATCAATTATTCAGTAACATTTATCAATTAATCAGAATCATTATACAGTAACAGTTAAAAAATATTCACCTCATTGAAAAAGTCTGACATAAATGATTCATTTCCATCCATATTAATGGTGATTTCATTGTTAGCTTCATAGTTTTCATTCAAAGCCTGAAATTTTAAACAAATTTTGTATTGCATACATAAATATATGAACAATTCTGTTTCACATTTAACAAAAAACTAATTTAATTCACAATCATCCAGCAAACATCTTAAAGTGAAAACAGGAAGATATATGAATGTGTCATATACATGTATTAGCACAGTGCAGTAGCAAATACCAACCCATAAAAGAGAAAGAAAATCACTGAAATAGGACAACCCTAAAGGATAAAACTTTCATAAGAATCACTATATACTTTTTAAAAATTTAGGCACAAGAATCTGAGAGTTTTACCAGGCAATTTAAGTTAACGCTAACAGGTATCAATATAGATATATCTCCACCAAATTTCAATAATTGTCGGGCATTAAAAATTACACAAGGTCACTTTTAAAACGTTAACTCTAGTCTAATTCTAAAAATGTTAATTTTTGCCTAACACAGTTAGGAAAAATTTATCTCTTACCTTAGTGTTGATAAATTTTACGTTAAGATCATACAATAAGTATAGAAATCAATGACCAGCAATCAAAAAATTTAGTGACAGTTTCAAATTGCAATTGCATAAAAAGTTGTAATTAATGTCCCCTCATTTCATAGTTTAAAAAGGACTTCAACGCTTTTAAAATGCAAGAAAACATTTAATTTTTTTCTATAAATCAAAAATTAATAAGATCAGGAAAACATTTTATATAGTACTTAATTGAAAGTTTAGTATTTTTTAAAAAAAAAAAAATAGATAATATCTAGAAAATTTAAGAATTTTCAAAAATTTTTACTTTTTCATTGCAAAAATATTTTGGAATCACTTATATTTTTATAGTACCTTAAATAAGACCAAATTTTGTAAGCACACACAATAATTTAAAACAAAAACTTTTGTTTATATTTTTAAAACGCCTCTTTGATCAGGGGGTCAATACTTTACAGATAGAAAGTAATGACAATAAACTGCATAAACACAATTTTTTTTTTAATTTTAAGATTTATTTCTAAACCGCACTAGTTGTTCTTTAATAGTTTAATAATGTTATATTGTTTGTTTTAAAATTTAATAAATTTGAATAATTCTTCTAAATTGCTTATGGTTTAGGAGTGGGTAGAAATTGGCCATAGTGGTATTTTTTAAATGACAATGATTTCATTTTTTGTATATCTTGTGCCTCTAACCAAAAAAACTTTTACTCAAAGTTTTATTCTTCCTCTTCTGTTCATCACCTATATTTATACAACTTATATAAAATTAAGAAATGTCAGTGAGTAATTAAAACTGAAATTCTAAATTTCATTACTACTTAAATTTTTTTTATTTTTTTAAGTAATCAAATTCTTATGTATACTCACAAAAAAATTAAAATAACAAAATTCAAATATTGATGTTGTTAAAATTATAACTGTACAGATATTCTAAATTATTCAATTAGTAATAAGAATTAAAAAAAAGAACACAAAAATGTTAGGTAAACTTCCTCGAAAAAAATTGGAAAAATACATAAAAATAGAATTAAAACTAAAAAAAATTTTTTTTCATCTAGTCTTAATTAAAAAAAATTATTATTTTGATTTTCTAAATCAAACTATAGTTGAACACAAGAAACAGAATACATTCAATAGCCATCTTAACACTTGTAAGATTATTTTAACTTTATTTCATTAACATTATCAGTCATAAATTTCCTCTCCTCTCAAGTTATAAAATTTTGTATCCTTACGTTGATCAACAATTTTCGTATTATCAAACAAAAATGTTCTTTCGCAATTGTTTGAAATCTTACAAATATATATATATATAATAGTAAAAAAAACTAAATATGAAATAACATAACCAAATGAATCAAACACATTAAATGTTCCTCAAATAGGAAAGTAATTAATAACTACGCAGTAATTATTATCCCTTTTAAGTGTATTTCAGGTAGGGACTATATTTTAATTACAAGGTATTTAAAAACAGATTATTAGCCATTGGGAATAATTATTCACAGCATTAAAAAATACTTAATTCTGTATCAACTAAAGTTGATTAAAGATTCATTTTTTAGGGGTATATTTAAAATAACCTAATATTGTCAAAGATTTAAAAGAATTTATTTCCAGCCTGAACTATTCCTACAGTATTAAGTCAAATTATGTTACTACATCAAGATTCAAGTATATTTTTACTAAAAATAGTTGTTTTTCTTTAAAAGAAACATCATATATGCATTAAACTAACATATTTATCAAAGAGCACTATTATTTATAAACCTCTTTGAAGCTTACTAAAATCATTTACATTATTCAAAAAATTGTAAAGAAATTTAGCTTTTTTGAATAAAATTGTTTTAATTCGAAAAACCACATTTGCTTAAAAAATTAAAAACCAATTGCTAAAAATTTTTTAATAAAAAGTAAAAAAAAAAAATTTAAATTAAATTATTTAAAAAAAAACCGAAAAAAGAAAATGATAAGTTAATTTAATATAAAAATTAGCAATTTATCATTAACAAAAAAATTTAATATCCCCTAGTAACTACTCTATCCTTAAATAGAAAGACAAAGAAAGACTACAAGATCAAACCTTGTTTTTAACAAATGCCAAAAGTTTCACACTAAGAATTCGATCAATATAAAAAATATTCAATATTGAAGAGCAATTTCAAGGATTTTATATACATAGTGATTAAGTGTTCAGGCTATATACAGTTTAATATTAATTGACAAAACAATTTGAAAATATCAAATATAAACGATGTGTAAGATCATAAACTTCATTGTTTCGAAATGTAATCAGTCTCAAATAAAAACCAAATAAGCTATAAATCAATCCAAGTAATAACCCACATTTAATTCAGTGTATAAAAAAAATACCACAAATATGTGGAATAAATACTAACAGCTTTCAGGGCGCCCAATCTATCATTAACCATATTTATGAGATGAAGTAATAGTAAAGGAACGTAAAGACAAAGAAATATGAAATCAATAAAAAGATTTTTAGCTGAAATAATACGATAGTTTAAAGCAGAAAAATAAAGTGACTTAAAAAGAATGAACAACACAAATGTTTCAACAGGTTGTCATCGAATTTCACTCCCACTACCAACAAAAAACAAAACAGAAAAAGAAGTTAAAGTTAGCTGCAACAAGTCTTTTTCGTAAAAAAGTTAAATATGTGAATAAATGTACTAATCCTATTTTTGGCTGCATTATGTAGCATATAATATATAATTTTTGAAAGCATTAATATTTAAATTTTCTATGGCTAAGATTTTGAAATTTTACATTATGTCAAAAGTTAAGGCTTATTTTCACTACACAAGAGATTGGTTGATTCGAATGCATTGCACCAACCAATCAGATGCCCGATTCCCACTATTTGACGCTAACCGAAAAAGGCGTTTTTTTTTTTTTTTTTTTTTTTTTTTTTTTTTTTTTTTTTTTTTTTTTTTTTTTTTTTTTTTTTNTTTTTTTTTTTTTTTAATTCTTTTTTTTTTTTTTATAATTTGCCAATTCGTGTTGTCCTAAAACAGCAGGAAAATTTCGATGATGTGAACCAAACGGTAATTTTGCCGATTTTGGAGGTGAATTCAAATTGTCAGCGTTGTTTATTTCGATTTCTAATAAACATAACAAGACTGTTCATCAATGCGAGGCATCAGATTTGGATGAATTAAATACATCTTAGTCATAAATCACACTCGATACTTTTCTAAAATTTGCAATCGAAATTTATATGTTTGGCGTAATTTTATATTGGCGTAACATATCATACATATTGGAGTAACATATCTTTTTAATTAATGATATTTTTCATTTAAAGAAATTAAAGGAAGTATTCTCCTCTCTCTTTTTTGGAAACGGGGAAAAAATTTTCTTTACGTGATGTGGAAAAATTATTTTTTCTTAGTACTACTATACACTAACGATGTATTTACACAGGAATATTTTATATTATGTATAAAAGAATAAATGTCCTTTTAAGTAAATTCAAGTGGAAATATTTTTCCTTTGAAATGAATAAAAAAATATTTTTCGTTAACTTTTTTAATTAATTCGCAATTGTTTACCCTCTCTCAAATACAATTTAACAAAAATTTATTATTTCAAAAATTTTAAGCTACATCTTCAGATATATTTTAAAAAGACGTAGTCAAAGTTTTAATAAATCGTATTTTTTGATTTTAATACAAAATTTGTACAAAGCTGTAATTTGTGATGAAAGTTTTAAAATTATATATAACCCTGTACTGCTGTATCCTTTGGGATACATTAACCTCAGGAATTCGAATTCACTTCAAAAATATAAAGAACATTTTTCTTAAATTAAATACGAATATTAATGAACGATAACTTTCATGAAAAAATATATTGCTTTTGGTATTTCTAATATAAGCTAATTTAAGTCTGACGAAAAAGATCAAGTAATTTGGAAACAAAATGCAAATATCAGAGGAGTACCTCAGAGCGTGACATCGAAAAGTTTGTAGTTTCATCTCGTGCAGAAGACGAGACCAAAGAAATATTTAAGGAGGATCATCAATTTAGTAACAAAAAAATTAATTAGTGTAAGCGATTAAAATCATTCAAAATGATGTATTCCATTTATTTCGATTGATCACTCTATTTTTTCGTCAGCCTTGAGGGGCATTTACACTGGATGCGATTTTTCGCATGTGAATACGATTCTGAGTTTTTCGTAAGTAAATATTTTCCGTTAATGAGATTCTCATTTCACGAGGGAAAAAAAATTTCTACTGTGAAAATAGTCGCTGAGTTTCGTGTACCGTTGGAATTGAAGATTGGGTTCAAAAGAACGAAGTTCAAATGCTGTGGTCGAACTTTAAGATTTCATACTCAGGTGAAAAGTCAGAGGAATTTGGGGATCTGAGCCCCATTTTTTTAGGAAGTCTAATTTTTAAAGGATTAGCAATTAGCGGGAAAAAGAATGTTTCATAAATTTTTACCTGACTCGGTTGTTGTATGAACTTGGAACTATAAAACTGAAGGTGGAACGTTTAGACATCTCACAAATCAGTTAGAATTTGTCACAATTTACTGGAATCGGAGATGAATATTGAAATATACATCGAAAACATTGAAACACTCCACACACAGGAATCGATACACATACACTATTTATTTTCTCAAGCTCAATGAATAATTAATTAGGATGCGCATAGCGCCATCTGTGGACTGTAGAATTAAACAGGTTCATTGTTTCATTATTATATATAATATTAAAATAATGCTGTTTGGCAACGTCTGTGTTTGGCATAGTATAGCATTTCTTGTGCCTTACATTTTTTAATTTAATGAAGAAAAAAAAAACATGTCTTATAATTTTCTTTCAAGTTATTTTATTCTATTATATATCCGGAGTTGAACAGCTGACCAAATTTTGATTATACGGCTATTAATGTTCAACTCCCCAATCTTGTAATTTTAAACCCAACCTAGAGGATAAAGGAACTTTTAGATCAAGCATTGTGACAAACTAGCCTTCGAGGAGGACTGAAACTAACCCGCATTTGCGTTACATGGAAAGGAAAACCACGAAAACCTCACAGGGTTCGCTCAATGGCAAGGAGATTCTACCAATACCACTGAGGATATTTTACGTCAGCACTGTGGTCGGTGCGCGTCTTGAGCAGAATTCGTATCAATCAGCAACTGTGGGATTTGTATTATCTTTAATTATTTTTTAGCGTGAAAAACATAGTATAAAACAAAGTTTTTCTTAATGCTTATATTTAACTCCTTAGATTGGTCTTAAGAAAACGATAATTTCTTCTAATGTGTGTTTTAATTAAAACAAGTAGAAAACTTCCATTAGTCTAAATTCTAAACTTAGCATAAAATATTTGAAAACTTGCTAGATCGTGTAATAGAGGGGAAAAATAGGCATATGGTGTTGTTAATATGAGTTTTTAAGGATTCAATATGTCTATAAACGAAAACTTAAAATATTTATTTAAAATTTCATAAAATTTAGATATTAATTTGAAATCAAAGTGAAATAAAATTCAAATTGCTTTGTAAAAATATTCTTTTCTTACGCTTAAGAGCATTATTTTCCTTGCGTCAAGTTTTAGAATAAGGTGTTAATTGGAAAAATTCTTTTGAAAATACAGAGATTTTGCATCACGTTTGTCTTACTATAACGCTAATCTTATTATTATTTATTTTTTTTAAATCTCTCAGCGATTCTGTGATTTGTTGAGAAATTTTCTCGTATATGCTATGAAGCTGTTGAAACCTAAATAGTGTTAGGGTTAAAGTTATCGTTAAATCGTAACGCTATGCAAAATCTTTCTAGTAGCTTCTTGATATTAAATGTATGTTAAAGGTGATTTTTTCCTAACTTACTAAAAAGTTACTTAATGTAACTTTTTAATTTCTTTTTACTACGCATTTGCTCTTTGTATTCTCAAACTCTTTATTAGGACTTTTTAGAAATTAAAGCAATTTTATATAGTGGCGCCTCTTTCTCTTTCTTTCAGATTTTGAACAGTGTTCTTCGAAGTTTTTTTTCCCCAAGAAAATAAAAAAAAGCTCTAGTTTTGCCATACATTTGAGGCAAAGTTATAATTTTTAATTACATACAAATTACTTTAATTACATACAAATTACTTTAATTACATACAAATTACTTTAATTGCATACAAATTACTTTAATTACATAAAAATTACTACCAATTACTTGGACTTCAGACAAATATTTAAAATATTTTAATATTGATTAAACATCTTTAAAATTCGACACTTTGAAAAGCTTTTTCCACATAGATTAAAATTACTAAGTCAATAAATGATTCTCAAATATTTCAATCTTTTATGAGCCTACATATTACAACGTTGGAAAAAAAATTTTGAATCACTAAATAATTCCATGATAAACACTTTTCATTTTCTCAAAATTATAGCTTTTCATCAACGCTACATTTTGTGCCATTTTTAGAATTAGCATGCAGAACCTGGCTGAAGATGAGCTCAGCTTGACTCACAGTCATGAATAACTGTTGCAACAGCAATGAAAATGCCATATTATTCTCAAAATAAAAAACATTATTTCACGTGAGAGCAGAGCCTTTGTAACACAGACTTATGTGACTCATACCGAAAAATAAAGCGTTTAAAAATTCTTTTATTTTTACAGTTTTATATAATTCGAAATTCTGAGAGTATGAGTAAGATTAAATAGAGGAATAATATCGGTCTATATTTGTTTTCCTTTTTCGTATAGCTAGCGTGGAACTGCTGACTAAACTTTTGGTGGCTCTTTTGGTAGTGTCTGTGATATCATCGAGTATTATAAGCCACTTGTGGTTAGCAGGTAAAGATGTGTCTGGCGCCATCCAGAAAGGATCTCTACCAAAAATGGATTTACAAAGAGCAGCACTCGAAGACGAGTTAACGATATGCTTCTGTTTATTTGGTTCCAACAAGTGGCAACAATAAGCGGACCTTTTATACCACTTCAAGAAGCTTCCGCTGTTAGATTATGGGAGTCATTAAACTTGGCATATTTTTTTCCACTTTTTCTTACCCTTCTTGCTTTTCCCCATCTGCCCCACCCCATATTTTCGTTTTATTGTTAAAGCTTTCAATATGCAATGCTCAGAAAAAATACAAAAAAAGAAGAAGAAAAAAGGGAACGTTTTGAATAACTTTTGATCTAATGATCGGATCTTTACGTTCTAGGACTCATTCTTAATGGTTTGAGGGGGTGACCTCAAATATGCTAATTAATTACGACAAATATGCTAATTAATCAGACGATATTTCAAGTTACAGAATCAGACGCAAAATCTTACCTTCTCTGAAGAAACATGCCTTTCTTTCGACTGATTTGGATTCCTTAATTCTAAATAGCTGCAATTAGGGAAAAACGGTTCCAATAGTTCGGTCAGTAGAGTGGTCTAAAGTTTGGACCCCGTATTTTGGATGCGTATTTCGCAATATCTCGAGAATATTTTAAGCAAATTGAAAATTTTTTTCACACAGTAATAAAATTCGTTTATCCAAAGTAATTCCACGCAAAAAAACAATTTTTAATAATTATTTATTATTTTTTATTATTTTATTTAATAGCAGTTGCAAGGTATACATATTATTATATTATTTTAAAGAACATGATTTTA